ATTAGATTTTAAAGGCGGAGTTCGATGAAAAGAAGGAACTAACAACCAGGCTTCCACCTACAGACTGGGAAGGGTTTATCCCCCGCAAGGTTGATTGTGAATGGGACTCTTTTAACTTCACCTGAAAGACAGGTTCAGGTCACTAGCGTCAGTGTAGCAAAGCAAGCATCCACGACAACAATGTTGGAAGATATTTATGCTCCGATAGAGGAGGTAAGAATACCTTCTACGGACATCATTTGAAGGCGAATGTTGTTCACTGCAGGATGTTGATCTGACAAGGATTTTAGTGGATTTCAACGCAGAAAATATGGCTGGTGTAGGAGCTGGAGACGTGAGTTTCAAGCTTAATTGATTTATTGATTATTATCATGGAGTATCAGAAATTCCATGGAAAGCACTTTGGTAATTCCTGTATTTTAGAAGCGATTTCTTAATGCTGCAAACAAAATTTTACGCACTGCGTACAGAGACAAGGTAACCAATTTATCATACGTCTATGTCACTACGTGCTTCCCTTCCCGTAAGCGCAATCGCCGCGCCAAAGCTTCGCGCCACTTTCGCGCGCGTGTGGCGTGAGCATTCATTGGCCTCATCGATTGAAGGTCCGTACGCAAGGCCTCGCGTTGCGATGCGTAGTTCCTACGCGAAAGGGAGCACGTAATTGACACAGACTATGAAGGTCTTGCTATACAGTACTTCTCATTTTTCCAGGCTTTTGAGAAAACCCTCACCAAAGCTGAAAATGACTTGTTAGCAAAATTTTTCTCAGGAAAAATCCCCTACGATGCACATGTGCGGTTCTTTCGAAATCTCCAAGATGAGGACTTATCGCTTGGCTTAGGTTCTTCACACTCTGGATTCGGTGCTTGACAAGACCATCGATTATTTTCGTCAACATAAAACGAAGATCAGTCCTGAGGTGGAAGAAATCATTGCAAAGAGGGAAGCTGTAAGCACGAACTGCTTTTGGGGGCAAAAATTAGTTTATGATTCCAGCTGAAAGCAGCCATGCTTGAAACTATGTTGACTGTGCCCAGATTTCTTCCTAGTGATTGGGTAAAGCAGTTTGAAGGTAAGTCCAATGGGAGAAAACACAAAGCTAATGTACAGATTTTTCACTAGCAATATTAGAAAATGTCAACCGCATTTTTTTCCGGTATTGACTATAGGAATAGCGCCGAAAATATGGTAACACAAAGTGTGTTGCAGTATACCAACAAGAGGCTTTGCGAGAAACAAGCGGCATCAACTGGGCTCGGATAATGTTACTCTATCCTAAGTATAGGACTTTTGAAGACGGGGAAGCAGATATTTGTGAGTGAACACTTTTTTTATTAACAGGGAATAGCAAAGATTTTTCCAGTCGGAAATTTCACCCGTGCTCGGCGTAGCCATTGGCTTATGGGCATCGTTTTTGGACCTCTGGATTCGAAGACTTTTGAGGAAGTGGACAGAGAAATCAAAAGTCAGGTTAGATCACAACATTCTTCTCAGACTTATAACGAAAGCAGTACGTCGAAGTTGACTGAATTTTTGACTAAACTCATTTTTGCATGCAAATATGCAGAGAAAATGCAGAAAAATAATAAAAATAAAGACCGCAAACTAAAATCTCACTATCAAAGTGAAAGCAGTGTAGCAATAGGATATCGGTTCCATGAGGGGAAAATGACTGGAAAATCTCAACCAAGCCAGTTTCCATACGACTCTTCACAAAATTCGTTCGTGGCCGAGAAATCCGAATCTAAACCTTCACCCATCACCGTATTCCTTCCTCAAGTACGGTGCCAGGCGAGAGACTGAAGTGGAATTGTTTAGCTACGAATGAATTCCATGACTGCCACTTGGACCTTGGTTTGTTCTATTTTTCCCGTTTTGT